TTTCATAATCTTTATGATGTTTAATATTATTTTAAGGGGTGGGCGGGTTTGGGATTGTACATTGTGGTATTTTATTGATGTAAGCCACCCCGATTGCTTCTGCAGAGGGGTGGGATAGAAATTATTATTATTGATATTAATTTTTTATTAATCTTTTAAAAATAAACCCATCTCACTAAAAAAAACAACCAGCAAAATACCAAATCCCCCAACCAAAAGGCCTAAAGTACACCAAGCAAGCTTTTGAAGTTTAACTGGCTTCTTCTTCAGCTCCTTGGATTCAAAGAATCCAACATTATTTGGAGCCATAAATTCCTGGTAAATCTGAGTCCTCTATGTCTGATTTCTCAGATTCCAGATTGTGAGTTATGATACATTGCATGTTCATGTACATGGATGTGCATCATCCACACACAATGTGCAAGTATCTTAATGTGCAACCTGAGCCAATCTGCAACAGCATTGAATTCAGAACTTTTTTTCTGCTCCTGAGATGTTCACATGTCCCTTATGGAAGAGTGCAAAAGGTTTAATCTGTAGGTATAAGGCAGTATATGGTTCAGTGGTTCAGTCTGTCTCCAACAGGATGCCAGCTGCATGGAGAAACCAAATTGACTTTCATTGACTTTCATTAATTTTCAATGGTGAGCATAGAGCCCTGTTGGGAAACTATGGACCACAAAAGTTATGGATGCTATGGACCACAAAAGTTCTGCCCCTGGAGCTCCCCAGCAGTTCCACATTTTTTGGCTCAATTTTCAAGTAATTGTTGCCTAAAAGCCACAGGAAAATACCCCAAATAGGTGTAAATACATGAAAAACATAGTCCCATCTGCAAAGTTCCCCCCAAACTCCCCAAGGCCCCCCAATAGCTCCACTCTGTAGTCCCTCTCAAAATGGTGCCAGAAAGCGATGCAGTATCACATCTGATCACCATTTTAAGAGGCTCTACAGAGGAAAAAGAGAGTGATTTGAGTTTATTAGGTGGGGGCTGTGGGTGTTGGCCACCCCGGCTCTAAATGACCCAAATTCTGTCATCATCATCATCAGGCAAATAAAAAGGAGTTTTTCAAAAACTTTGAAAGCCAAGGATATGGGGGTGGGGGGAGAGGTGTTTGAAATCTAATCTCGCCCACTTCCAAACATTGAGGCAATGGCAAACTGTTGACCTTATGTCCCCCAAGGCTTTCTGTGTACTTTTTCCTATTCCGTAGCTCCAACTCCACATAGGAAATGAATTCAGTGACAATATTTTCATTAGATTATACCCAGAGTTCTCCATCTTAGGCACATTTGTAAGCTTGTTGTACATTCTGATTACTGGGAAAGAATAAGTCTGTGTGCTGGGTGGCTTATTCGGTGTATAAAACGAATGTTATAAATAAATTTGCCTCTGTAAGGCAACAGCCTCTCAAGAGCAGAGGCTGCCAGGCCATAATAGCAAGTCAGAAAGGGAAGGGTCTTTTTTCTAGCAAATATATATATGCATCTTCACAATTCACTAAGAGAGTTTTGTGTTGCATTGCTGCAACATAACTATGTATTCAAAAAGTTAAAAACAGTTCCCAGCATTCCTCACCATTGGTCATAATGGCTAGGGATTCTCAGTGCTATGATCAACAACATCTGAAGACCACATGATGTCCACCTCTGATGCTACTTCTCCTTGTATGAACTCCCCTGACATGTATCTTGCACAGTAAGGTTCTGCGTTGACTGCATCCACTGTGGAAACTGGGGATACTAGTCTAAGGAGCAAGGTCTGTAAAGCAGATAACCCCAAGAGGTCCTCTATAGAAACTATAACAGTCCCTTCTCTTAACTGCTCCAGAAAGAACTGCAGAAGGATCTCCAAAGGAACTATGGAGCTGCTCAACAACCTCTTAGGGATGCTCCAGAGTTATGGAAGAACCTGCCAAGAAGTTCCATGGTTATGGAACAAGCATCATAAGGACTTCTACCAAGGATATTGACCAAGCCTTTCTAAAATGGTCATTCTACCATTGTGGAGGCTGCAACTCAAATGGCCCATTCTTGTGTTCCCACAAAGTGTGTCTCCAAATGTGGCAAGATGCCAGAACAGGGCCTTAGGAATCCACATAACAGCCCTGTAAGGTAGAACCATATCATGATTCATTGCCGCAAGTTTGGATCACCCCTGTATTCCACATGAAGGGTGTATGCTCTCATGTGATTTTGTGATTAGGAGAGATAGAGAGAGATTTCAACAAAGAGTCAGATGGTTAAACACAGCCGCCATGGCTGGGGGAAATGCATTACTGTCACTCTGCCAAGTGAAACCTTGGGTGATCTACTGCACTGGTAGCATTCAACAAAGTGTCTCCAGGCAACTTTCACTCTCCACACCCAGTTCTTGTGAGAGTTTAGAATATTTTGCTCCCTTGGATCCCATCCGGGCCTCGTTTCTTCCCCCAAAGTTTCACAAAACCCACATCACAGTATTCTCTGATCTGTGTCATCCCCTGCCCCCACTTCTCCATTTCACCCAACTCAGCACAGCTCAGAGCCCAAGACATATACCAAGAGATAAGCCATGCATTGGGAAGAAACTGGCAAGAAATAATGCAGTCTTTTGGAAAGGAATTTTGCATCCAAGTGGGGAAGTGTGTGCACATGGGGGAGGGAGAGAGGGAGAAAGAAAGTGAATGATCCCTCTCAGGCATGCAAGAACCATTTAAACAAGCATACTTGGAATTTTTCCACCCTGGATTAGCATACATCTTTTAGCAAGCTGGCTGCTAGAACACAAAAGACTCATCTACTCTCCACGCTTAAGCTTGTTTCATAAGACATTCCCTCACCACAGGGAACCCTGGGAACTGTAGTCCAGCAAGGAAGGGGAAACTTTGCTGTTCTTTGCCATCAAGTCAACTTATAGTGACCCTATGAATGAATGCCCTAAAGGCATCAAATCCCATCTGATATTGGAAACCAAGCAGGGTCAGCCATTGTTAGTTCTTGGAAGAGAGACCACCAAGGAATCCCAGGTACTGTAAGTTATATTTCAGAGGAAGAAACTGGAAAAAACACCTCTCCCTTGCCTACAAAAACCATCTGAAAAATGCATGAGGTTGCCATAAGTCAACAGGCGACACTTGAAGGCCCATGCACACATGCATAAATGAAAGACA